ATATTTCCTCATTGATGCAGATCTACCTTAATGGTGATTGTCTTATTTCCGACTGACTCCAAACATATGACACTGAAGTCTAGTCTCTTCTGGTCTTTATCTCAAATCAATAGTAATTGAAAAGCGGTCGAAACTAAAGGAGTGCTGTAACACCATTGTTGTTACTTGTATTATCCCATCGTTGAGTGGATTGAATTTGTCGCTCTCTGTTAGCTACGAGCTCCTGCATGGATACCTCGTTATTACCTGTGTTTAAACTATATGGTAATGATGAATAAAATCTAACAGTGGAACCCAAAATGCGCATTTCGCCCTACTTAGGACTCGTCATCTGAGGGGCAGGTACGCCCCCCCTGACGAGTCCCATCTTGAATTCTACTGTTAGCCATTATCTATCATAATATGTACTGTAACACTGTTTCATCATTTTTTTTAGCATTGTACCATATTTACTATCATCTTAAAAGTAGAAGAAATTCTTAATCCAATAATCTCACCTTAACTTTTGGTTGACAGCAGTTTATACTTCAGATGATAGATGTAAATGTTTACAGTGAACCTAGTAAAATCTATGACATCAACAGTCAAAATCAGTCACTTTGTATGTTGCAATTTGTAATTGAAGTGAAAGATATTAGTCATTTAAACTCCGGTTGTATATTTCAGTGATTATAACAAGGAATAAAGGGTTTAAAGATTTAGACTTTATTCCTTTGCTCATATACACCAGCGAGAGGTTTACGAAAAGGAATAAATAAGTGTTTATATTCTGATGACTTTTTAAATGATAAAAATTGCCTACAAAACTACAATATATTTCAATAATTTTATATGGTCTATGATCGAATCAGAGTTTGATGTGTAACCTTTCAAGTAATATTTTATGATTTCTATAGTAATATTTTAATCGTATTGCCTAACCGGTATTAAGCTAACTTTGTTTTTGTCCATTTTGTAGTTACATGTAAACAAGATAACTAGGTATGATGGACAATAGTTCGTTGAAATTTTTAAGAACTGAAAACTATGCTTTAATTAAAAATATGCACTAAAAATAGTCGATACCTAAACTCCTGCCGATTATCTTCAACCAAATAGCATCGATCAAAGCACACCTCCTAGCCTGGTAACCACATTAATAATACTCACTTTGGTACACTATCGAATTTTCAGCATAATATATTGCAACAAAAAATTTATGTATGTAAATACTCCTTCACAACGTTTCGAGTAGAATTTAAGTAATGTAAAGAATATTAATAACGAGGAAATTTTACATTGTTAACTAAAATATTGGAAAGAGATTGTTTATTTTTGCTAAGTTCTGTTCTAACACTTTTCCTCATATAGTATGCGTGCCAGGTAAGGCACAATTGAATTCTTTTATTTAGCTTGTCCAAGCATACAGTCTTATGTAATTTCTTGTCCTCCTTGAGGAGCTACAAAGAGAGAGCTGTAAATGAAGGGGATCTTCAGTGTCTGTTGAGATTACTATAAGTGGTTGCCTGCTAGAATTTAAATGTCTGTCGACTACAGTGTTAATCAGTTGGGCCATAGGCACAACGCTCAGCCTACTGACGGCTTTCAAGGCCCTGCACAAAGGGAATCAATAGAGAAGAATTGGGAAAATGCAGGAAATAATAAATTATAAAATTAGAGGCTGAGTCATACCAGAGAGCCTCAGTTTCTTTATATAAAGCGTTAGACGAAAGATTTTCTTGAAGATCAATAACATATGAGACGACCAACAAAGATCAGAAGTAAATCTCAATCCAAGATAGTTAACATTCGATTTGCTTTCTACAGAAATACCATCAATGCAGCAGGCGTCATGAGACTTAAGCAGCTCACACAGGTCCTGTTTACGTCTGAGGCTAAAATTAAGTCTGACATTTAGAAGGGTTTAACTTGAGACCATCTGAGAGAGACGATTGATCAAGTATAGACAGGAATTCATTTAATTCAGACCAATCTAAATAAAAGTTAACCGGGATAGAAACCGTCAGGTTGTCAGCATACTTAATAAAACCGGTTTCAACAGAATAAGGTAAATCTTACCAAAGAACGAAAACAAAAAGGGAGAAAGTACTGCACCTTGAGACACACCAACTCCAGTAAGCAATGAAGTGGAGCATGTCCCTTTATAAACAGTATACTGTCTCTTTTCAGAAAAATAAGAATACGGTCACTTTGTAACACATGGCTCAGTATGAGCTACATCAAGGTTGTCTAACAAGAGTGATTTAGGCAGAGAGTCAAAGACTGACGAGTAGTTCAAGAAAGCCTAACGAACCTACTTAACACCTTTGTCTAGGCTGGAAAAAATATTATTATGCAAGACAGTGACAACATCTAAAGTACTTCTCCTGTGTTTGTAAGCGAGTTGTCTTGGATCTCTGAAAACCTTCAATGAAGGTTCAAGCACAAGCAAAAGTAATTTCTCCATTGTCTTCAAAAAAATTCCTGTCAGCATTCAGGACTTCATCCAGCAAATAATACTGTTTTGCTGTACTGATAATAATTATTACAATTTGCTCCTTGGGTTCTTAGTGGAACATAGAGCTTCACTAGCACGCCTCCATTTCACTCTCTTCTCTGTAGTCTTTTAAACCTGGCTCCACAACTGCTCATAAGCTTTTATTTCTTCCTCGTACGATCTCCTCCATTTCACCTTTAAACGCCCAACTCATTCTTTCCCCTTTGGATTCCACTCGAGGGCCTGGCCTGGAACGTGATGTCCCCGAATGGTCTTCTCAGTATATGCCCGATCCAATCCATCTCCACTTCTGCATATTTGTTGGGCGATGGGTTCTTGGTTGGTTCGTTCCCAGAGTTTCTTGTTGCTTATTCTTTCTGACCATCTGATCTTCAGTATCGAGCGAGCGTAGGCAGTTGTTGATGAATGTCTGTAGTTTGTTCGAAATGCTTTTCGTGACGTGCCAAGTTTCTAAACCACATAGCAGTACTGACTTGATATTAGTGTTGGAAATCCGGATCTTGTTCGTTGTGTTGAGTGCAGAAGATCCCCACACTGGTTTCAGGCAAATGAACGCCTGTCTTGCTGTTTTTCCGATCCTTGCTTTGACGTTCTCATCTATTCCCCTTGTAGTTGAAACGATGCTGCCTTGTCCAGGTAGGTGAAAGAGGCTACTTCCTTTAAATTTCTCCCGTTAATGGTGATTGGTGCTTGTTGTTGCTATTGTTGTTTGAGTATCTTCATCACCTGTCTTTTCGACATCCACTTAAAGTCCCGTCTTCCTTCGCTGCCTCTTCTGTCAACTTATTAGTTTTCGCCTGTAGATCTTCAAGTTTGTGTGACATTAGGCATAAGTCATCGGCGAAATCCTAAGTCCAATCTTCTAGGTTCTTTTCCGCCGTCCAGCGTACCCCCCTCTTCTCGTTCCTCACAGTTTGTTGCATGATCCAGTCCAGTCGACCACAATCAGGAAGATCATCTGTGATAGTAGGTAGCCTTATCTTACTCCTGTCTTCACTTCAAAGACGTCACTGAGCTTCCCATTATGAATCTTCATTGCGTCTTCATACAGCTGTTGAATGTGGTTGATAAACGTTCGTGGCACTAAAACCGTAGTGTTGGAGCAGTTTCCAAACTACTTTATCGGTCGATGCTGTCGAACGCCTTTTGAAAGTCTATGAAGTTGAGGTAGAGAGTTGACTGCCATTCTTTGATGATGCGTAGGTTTGCAATTTACAGAACTAAAATGGAGTGATTGAAAGTTGTAAAAGCCCTATGATAAAAAGAAGAGGAAATATTGCAAACAAAGAAATGAGAGAAAAAAGATATTTGCAAAATAAAATGGGCTCATTTTATTTCATGGCCTTTCATCAGCTGCAAACAGTCTATAGTTGAAATATCAGTAGTAGGAATGACATAACATAATTTAAGTATGCAGAAATAAATAATTTGAAATCCACGATTAATAATAAGTTACTGAGTTGAGTAAACACTGGGTTAGTAATCACAGACCTTAGTCAAAATCAATGGCAATTTATACCTGAAGCTATGGAGTGGGGGTACAACATCAAGAGGGGTGTTAAAGAGCTAGTAGGTAATGTAATTCCTTGAAAAAACTGGAAAAAACGTTAGTTTGAGTGGTTAATAGCAAATAGTTGATTGATAGAGAGATGATTCAGTCAAAAAAGGCTGTACATATATATGCAAAAAATTATATGCAGCCATCAGGGTAAAAAAAGGTTAATTACACAGTCTCTTTTTTAGTACATAGGTCATGTTGAAAATGTTTGATGGTGAGAGCTTCCACAAACCGTGATAAATATGGCTTATTTGTTTATTGATTGTTCTGAAGGATTGAGAAATATGTATTTGATGTCCTGTTTTCATCAGGTGTCTGGCGACTGCGCTGATAAAGACCTTGCTACCTCTCAGACACAGATTTCTCGGAATATGGTCATAAAATCGAGCAGACGCACTTCTTTTGGTCCTTTCTGTACACTTACTTCCACAAGCACAGGTGAACTGATATACACATTTGGTAGTGAAGTGAGATGGGTGTTTGTCTACTTTCGACTGTGTTATTGAGCATACTCTATTGTAAACTGAGATCAGTCTGGCAGCAGGGATGCTCCTTCCAGGTGAAGCTTTCATTCTTCTGTTTATTCTTTCAGATATCTCATCACATTTGAATCGTAGACGAAGGAAAATAGGCTTCTTCTCAACAGTGTTTGGGTCTCAATAGATTCTTTTCCATGCTTCATGGTGAACTTTTTCGGATATTCATTCTCTATAACAACCTTCTCAATGATATCGAATTCCTCTTCTCGCTTGTCTTTTGAGCATAGTGTTCTTATTCTAGTGAAGACCGTCCTGATTAAACCACGCTTATAGCTGACAGAGCAGAAGCTATTGCTGTGAAAGTATTGACAAATTCATGTCTTTTTTACTTAGTTTTCTCAGCTGTACCACACTGTCTTAAATCCATATCCAAAAAATTGAATCTATCCTCTTTTTCGTATTCCAGTGCAAAATTAGTATTTGGATGAACTTTGTCGAAGGTATCAAACAACTTTGACGAATAATTCTTATCATGACAAACAATGAAAGTATCATCGATACATCCATGGTATTATGTCGTTTCCCTTATCTCAAAGGTCAGAGAGGTGAACTTTGAAATAAAATGAGCTTATTTTATTCTGAAAATGTCTGTGCTCTTGCATTGTCCAGATTTATCAAGGGAACTAAATATGTGACAAACAAATTTGAAGATTAGATATTTTCGTCACACTGATCGATTCTTACCCATATCAAGTAGAATTTCCAGCTGTCGGTATCCATTGTGTCACAGAATCCAACTTTATGAAACCTGTCTAATTGTGCAACTAATTATTATTCCATTTAATAACTTTGTAAATGTTATATCTCAGTTGTCCAAATTTACATTTACCAAGCTTTGGGGTGGCGCATTAAACTCTCGGTCCACCTACTTCAACATGAGCAACATATACACACTGTGAGCATTTACTTATATTAGGTGTAACTCATGACTGAGCAAAAAAACACGTTCAGGTTTGATGAGTTGTATCAGCATCATTACTATTGTTAATAGGGGATTTCATTTCTAAGGTAGTATTCATCGCGGACTGACATTGTCTGAAGAACCGTTGAAAACCTGTACTCAGTGAACGACTGTTTCACCCTAGTATAAGACTTCTCAGAAGTATGCACCCGCAACCCAACCTCGGGGGGGGAGGGAGAGGTCGAACTTAGGACCTTCATGTCTTGGGGTGAATGCATTATTGTTGTTGTTTTCCCCACATATCGTCAGACAAATTACTTGGATATAAATATAACTATTCTTGTGTAATACACCTACTTATACATGCGTGACTCTTAGTTATTAAATGCATGTGATTGTGGATTAGGCAGGTAGCTAATATCACAAGATTCTAGTCAAAGTTAGTCAACCAAATTTGGATTCAGCTAGTTTATTGCGAAAGTAAGTAGAAACAACAAATACATATATCACGTGTGTTGTCATAGGTTGAAAGACAATTGTGGTAATTTCTTCTTTTCTCCTTCTTCAAGACTATACATCCCGTGATTTAATTTCTCTTCCTCCCTTTGAAATAATCTTTCCTAATTTTATGCATTTACTTTATTTTTAGGACGTTGTTTTGCTTACATTTGTTTACACCTACACTGGTTTATGTACTTATGGAGATTGTGTGTGTAACTCATTCATTTGGAGTTTTCAAAAAACAAAACAGATAAGATAAATGGGTTTTTTTCCAATATGCTAACAAATATCATTTCCACATAACAGTCAGGCAAATGAAATGAAAGTTTTGTCAGCAGCTGAGTCTTGTAGCATCGGACTAGTTAGTATCCCGGAGGTTGCCTGTTCGAATCCTGTTTCGGTCTAGATTTCACCTTCAGTCATCACCCAGTATCAGTACAAGTCTGCTAAACTACGGTTATCTTAGATAGTTAAACTGAAAATATCATTTTTCTGATGTTAATGTTAACCGAAAATAATTACAGACAACATTATAATCCGTTTTAGTTGGTGTTTAAGGGTTGGATATAGTCAAAAGGAATCCGTGGACTTAAAATTGCCGTGTATGTGTAACATGGAGTTGGGAAAGACTCCTGACTTCTGTGAAGTGTATATTAGAGATGCCTAATCCCTAAGAAACACTAACTTATAATATCCATCTATTACCATTGTAAAATTTAAACCTTACTTTCGCACCTTTTTTGCTCCACCTTATACTACTTATTTTTACCGCGGTTTGGGATACTAAACTCTGATTAGTTCATTTTGCACTTTTAATATGCTATTTTGTTTTTCCTGACCAAGGCCATCGAAGGATATATAAACGACTAAATTTTCAGCCATAAGGACGATTCGATTGAAATAAATATACTTTCAATCGCATCGTCTTCTGGTGTCAGCTGAATATCGTATTGAGAAGTGACTGTTCTGTTGTTAATCGTATCGCATCGGAGCATTATATCGTTGTTTATACCGCAGATCATAACAGTTTAAACCTGTGTATATCTGAGAGAAGCGGCTTAATAGTAACAATAGACTTGCTATACGGAGGTGGATTGTTCCCCAAGTGTTTTCTGCATTGATTGAATTCAGTTAATCTGAGAAGTTTTTACAAGTAATAACGATGATCTAGTGTTGAACATTTTGTCAATGTCATCACTACTATCGTCATTTATCATAAACTTATTTGCTACAAAAGCTCACATTAGTAGAAACGATTCATAGCTCAGGGTATGAAGGTTAATTATTCAGTGTTTCCTAAACTTTGATATGTGTAAATAATAATAATGCAACTCAACCTGCTTAGTGTTGATATTCTAGGCTGTGAGCCACGCTTGCAGTGTGAGAGTTTATAATACTACCTGGTTGAGGAGGTCAAAGTAAGTTGAGTGAAAGTGACATATTAGATCATAAACGTTTCATCCCCAAGTTTAATGATTTCATTTGCAAGCGCTTACGTATGTCGTAGGTCAGCTTATAATGGCGACAAATAATGAGTTATCCAACCGACTGTGTTACCGTCAACTAGTATTTTTGTAGCTTATCTTATCTCTGTGTAATACTCTCATATTCTGCTAGTAAATATGATGTAACCGATTTGATTGGTTTCGTGAGGGTATATCTCTTCTAGTTATCACCTAATAATAGGTGCTCAATAGAGATAATCATCTTAGGATTTCACTAGGTATATATCTCTTTCTAGAATGATCACTTATTTTTGGCAGTCTAAAACAATAAGGCTTAAACTTCATTAGCCTTTAAGACTGAGGATTTTGTGTGAAATTTCTCACAGTTTATATAATTTTACTATTCTGTTAGAGTAGAAATATATTTTCTGCATACATGTGAATTTCTGACTGAAAATTCACTATGGGCTATGCATTTTATAAAGGCCTTATTTGATTCTATGCTGAATTACTCTAAGAATGCCGTTCATAGACTGTGCCTATAATGATCGTGATGGACATCTAGTGTTTAAATCACTGTTCTTATAGTCTAAAAATTCCACAAACATATATAATGAATTTGGAATCTCCAAGAATCATTGAAAAAAGTTGAGCATCCTTCTAGTTACAGTTGCTGGAATGCAGAAATCCTGGTGGCGTTGTTGTAGTTTAACTTTTTTTCCCCATAATGACCAGTCCAAACCGTATAGGTTCTAACACTTTTTCTTTCAGTCTCTAGCTTGGTAGGAAGGTTTTTCGAGAGAGTTGGTCACTCTCCAGTGACCAATCAGTGGATCTAATGCAGTCCTACAGGAGGTCAGTCACGGCCCGAACAGCTTGGTGGTAAGGTCGTTGACTACAACAGTAGGTCACGCGGGTTCAGACCCGAGGTGGGACATCGGTTCCGTCGGGGTTACAGATACTTCTTGCTGACGACTGCCAAAAAGCACGAAGCCTAGGTCCAGAGTATCCTGCCGACTGCTTTCATCCAACTAACATCGATAAGACATCCATTTTGTCATAAACTTACTGCATCTGTTGCTAAACTTTTTTTCAGCTAAACATCTTGTCACTTTTTGAATCTTTTGCCATTTAGATGTCACGCAGTTTGGGTTACAAATGGACGCCATTACACGATTTAGACCTTCCTTCAGGTGTTTGGAATCATCGACCACCTGATGCCAATACGTGTTTTTATGAAATCCAAGATTCCTGTGGTTTAGATAATGTTATATACAAATGAATATATTTTTAACGTATACTACCACGATTATTATTATTATTATTATTGCTGTTGCTTTATTGCAGAACCAAATATCTCACAAATTTTTCGAAATTCACTTATATTGTTCTAATGACATTTAAGATGTCCTGGTTTGCATTTGCTAATAACGTTTCATTTTTTGTTTTAACTCTTTCATCAATTAATATCTTGTTTCGAAGGTATCTACTGTTTATTGGCTGGTTAAATTGCGGTATCCTTGCACTTTCGTTTCTTGTGATAATTGTCCTTTGTTTCTCTTCACCTGTTTTCGTTGGTGTTTTTTTCCACTTTCTCCTCTATATACCTTATATCGGTATGAATCGTCATTACGTGTAACAATGGAGATTTGCTTTAATAATTCTTTGAACAGAATTCGTTCATCTGTTCATCTTTCTATCGATGCACTCTTGTTCAATTCGTTAATTAATAATAGTCTTGTTTTTGTATATCACTTTATTCTGTCTTTCCCTTTCTTATTGCTTGTCTGTTTTTATGCATCTTATATCATTGTCGTCGTTTTCGTTGTTGTAACTCTTTGAGTTGTTTATCGCCATCGCTTCTTCATCAGCGTATATTTATCTCTACCTTGTCTATCCATGTGCTCATATGTTATTTGCTTCTATTTACAGTACTTGAGAAATTGATCTCTTTATTGGTAAAAGGACCAAAAACAAGTCCAGTGTAGTTGTAGTGTTAGAAGATAAATTTTTGTAATAACTTATTGTTAAATAAAAGTATTCTATCTTTTTGTCTTAATCACGATACTGAAAAAAATGGTATATGCGTGTCAGAAGACATTGTATGCATTGACTGGTCACTTGAGAGTACTCAATTTCACGTCATCTAGTCTTAAGGGCTGATTGAATTCTATCGATTGTTATGTTATATGGTTATCAAATTATAAAAATCAGCATCATAACGAACGTAAAGCCATTTGGGGCAATCGGCAGTAAGTCCTGGACCCAGGTTGCGTTATTTTCGACACTCGACCGATGGAATTCGGTCGATACTTAAAACTAGATCACACGAAATCAGTTACATTCCACTGTCCAGTCAGTGTGTCTAATTCACTTCAACAGAAGGCCTTTAACAGCCCGAATAACTCAATAGTAACGTCTTTGACTACAGCACTGGGTGATGCGGGTTCGAATCCTTGAGGGAACATCAGTTTCCTCGAGGTTGCAGATATGCCTTTCTATTGAGTATTAACATGCATGAAAGCTTAGGTTCACAGCTTCTCCTGGATTACTTCAAACCATCTGTCGTCAATCGAAGATATCCATACATGAGGTTTAGTTCAGCTCTGTTCTTTGAAAGCGATTTAAGCATGTAAATGATTAGAGTGGTGCGGTTTTACTTCCAAGCTGGAGTATAGTTTCATAAACGTTCCTCTTGTGTAAATCGAGTTGTTTCATTGTGGACTGCCCTTACAATGCTTGAGTCAGTTGACTTTTTGTCGTGAAAACTCGGCAAGAATTTAACAGTAACAATAAGATCTCTAAAGTTGGTCTTGTATTTTACTAATAGTGCCTTCCTCTGTTTTGGTGAGTGAAGTAACTGACAATGATGCAAGAAAGCTATTAACGCAATGAGATATTTGGACTTCGTACGAATAGCGACTGCTCTCCTTCATACCTTGTACTTCACTGAAGCGGGAAAATCAGAAGGGAAATAGTGGCCTGTGACGGTAAGGAAAGCAACTTTATTTGACGAAAATACACATCATTTATATACAGTTTTTCCTCAGAGTCAACAGGTCAGAAGTTGGATACTTATTTTCACTGGTCAGCTGAAGGACGAAATTGTTCATTGAGGTTTTTCCACCCACACATTAACGTGAAACCAAGATTGAAATCTAAAACTCCTACCTGCGTGGCTGATGACTTAGAATACTGATTTCGATTTAGACCCCTTCCTGTCAGTAAGTTTTCGTACTAACAGTTTTTTTTCAGGTGTTTTTTTCTGACTTCATGTTAAACGTTACAAGCGATGAACATATGCCTTAGACTTCTAGTGTTTTGTAAACATCAATAAACTAAATGAAGAGTAAGCTTAGACAGTGATGTTTTTTTCCACTCATGGCTGTAAGATTTACAATTAAAATTTAAAGGCGAGGACCGATAACAATAACTATCATTATAATAGCCTTATTACGAAGAATATGTTTGATACAGTATGGAATTCTTAGGATGTAATACTTTAAGGAATTTACTCCCGAGACAATGTTTTCAAACAAAATGATTATGACATGTGAATAATGTTCATAATAATAGCATCAAAGGTAGTAACGTGCATCAGCTGATTGGTCTTGGGTTAGTGTATCGCATTTAGTAGTGGTGGTTTACTCAACCGGTAGAAAAATATAGTATTCGAGATAGGTATCCGAAGAATAGAACCATGATGAACTTTTATGCGTTCGAAAGTTTACTTCTGTCTAATATGACATTTTTCTTTCGTTTTGTTATAACTTCAAAAACGACTATTTCAGAACATTTTAAATATTACCAGATGTACATGAAATGTTTGAAGTACATAACTGATAAATTAAACAAACTAAAGAGGAGACATTCGACAGAGCATTTCAGGTGGGAAATTTCACTGGTAGCCCAAAGTTCAAGCACACCGCCAACGACGGTTAGTAGTAAGTGGTCAAAGTAACTTTCAGGAAATGCGATTAAGAATGGAAGCTCATTAATATAATGAGTAGATTGAAGAAGTGGTTGAATTCTTTCTACTCACTGAAACTGATCCATAGGATAGAAACAACCAATCATGAAGTGGCTCATAAGTAATAAAATGGGATATAAAGTTGAAGCCTTAGAAACTTTAAAAAAGAGCACTGCAGAAACGTTAATCAAACGAAATAGATAAAGTGATAGTAAAAATAAACAACTGATAAAAATGAAATGAATAAATGTAACGTATTCAGTCGTCAGAGTCATCGTAGACTAAATAATTTCGTCTGACTAATGTACAAATATAAATTACAATTCAACTGGTTTCGGAATTATAAACTCCAGACCAATGCATCTGTGCTTTATAAAGTAAAGAGAGTAATGTTTGTTGATCACATCTACGGCTGACTAATATTAATCATGACAATGAAATTAACCTGAAAGACAAATTAAAACTGTGTAAAGAGCCTTTATATTGTGAAATGTCAATCACCGGAAATTCAAAAGTACCGTAACAAGCGTTTCGTTCTAGCTTACGGTTGCCTTCAAATTATTCTCACAAGCTACTCAACACTTAATAATGAATGGCTTCGAATCGCGTTTCCAGAGGTCCTAGTGGGAATTCCCAGCCTGTGGTACTAAGGGACCGCGGCAGCTAACTATCAGTGGCATTGGATTGTAGTTGAGCAACTCGTTTAACTGATTTAAGTTTTGGAGACTTAGAACTTCTGACTGGAACCTGGTTACTTAAACGTCAACATTCTCACCACTATACCTGTAGAAAAGTTTACTGATAGCCTGTTCATTCGCGTGTATTTACTCTTACGGAGTCTCAAACCAAGATAAGAAAGCAGTATGGTGCTTTCTAGCTTTCTGTGGTTACTGATGTTTTATGGGAGTACTCGCGTAATCATTTACTTCTGTTCAAAACACTGGCTTGAACTGTTGCAAGCATGCTGATCTGATGGATTACGAATAGGATGAGCTCATTTTCTAATTGGTAATTAACCACATATATGACACAAGTTATTTACTTTGAGATGTCAAAAAGCTCTCTATTTTACTTGAGCTTGTGTGTTTTGCCATATAGTATATTGTTATTTACAAATCTTTGCTTTCTATGTTGGTAACGTTATGTAAATGTTTTAATAGTCAACTTGTTTGACAACCGAAAAATCGTTGGTATCATGTGTGTGCATCGTTTTAGTCTTGTCATGACTATTCTACACAGACGAAGTTCCCCCCCTCCGCCACCATAGGGAGTAAAGTGGTGAAATGGGTTGATCACTTTCATCACTTTCAATGTCATAAGTTAATTGATTGCATTGACTACTGAATTCACATGTGTTAAGAACATACTGATCTGTTCTGATTTCAGTACTGTAAATGTGTCATCTACGTGTCAGAACTATATCTTTGGAGTAGGACTAAATGTTTGAACAGCCGTCCGTTCTCAATTACAGCTGCGACGATAGTGGATATTGGTGATCCCATGGCAACACCTTCAGTTTGTTTATATATTTTATTTTATCTTACTCTTAGTATGATGTCTTTGATCGGCGCCTTAGTTTGATGCGAAAGTTCATTGTCAACCTTAGGCCCATTTCTGTCTAAAGAAACATGTAGACCGGAACATTCTTATGAAGACTAGTTATATCAAAACTAAACATTTTTTTCAGTTAACTACTCGTATATCATCTAATTTATGCTTTATATCATAAGAGTTAGTTAGTCAAGATCACTCGAGATTACCTATAAGGCTGGGATTAAAGTAGCATTAAAACCGACAAACTCTTTTAAAAACAAGCCTGTATGTTTGATAAAAATCCTATTGATGCAACCAAGCAAAATAATTTGGTGTATCAAATCCCTTGAAATGATTGCAAGGTTATATACATAGGTCAGAGTAATCGACCAGGGTCAATTAGAGTAACAGGGCACAAAACTTAGCTAAATCAAGATTAGTAGAATTTAATGAGATAAGCAATTTTGAGAAAAGCTCGACTATAGATAAGCATGCAAGAGAATAGTAGTAGTTATTTGAATTCTCCTGTTAACTCTTTATTATGTAATGTCTCTTTTACATGATCTTATTTTATTGTTTCTGGTGAGACTGATGTTCTCACTTACTTTTAACTTGATTCGAATTTACGTAAGAATAGTGTAAATTACAACTGTATTATTGTGTTCAGAAAACCAATTGTTAGTAAATGAACACAGCATACATGAACTCGGTTTAAGGTACTTCAAAATTTATAGAGTTAATCAATAAAAATTTTAGCGATTCATCTGAATATCAATTACATTTCTGTAACCGATCACTGAAGAAGTACTTTCATATCATTTTGCCACGTTTATCAAGTATATCATATAGTAAACTATCCTACTTACTGGACAACGTTTCGAAGACTTGTATTCCAATATACCATAACTCATTGTTAAAAACCTTCTTTGTTTGTTAGATATTCATGATTGTTTCACTAACTCATCATATCAGATGTCAATCATAAACTTAGACACTGTACTTTTACTTCCGAGCACAAACTTGATTAAATAATCCCTGCCTGATGAAGATTTCTTTGGCAGTAAACAAAATGTAACCAATGCTTTCGAAATTGTTATGAAGAAAAATTGACTCTAAGTAAACACTATATTTTGTAATCGCACTCAGTATTGTGAATGGTTTTGTTTAAACATGTTTTTATGATTACGTTATAAGGCAAACGATTGTGCAAATGTAGATTGAACAGGTTATTATTTCCTATGGATTACTTGTTCTCAGCAATGATTTCAAAGAAAACATGTAAGAATAAACTGAAGACTGACTCGATTTTTCAGAAATATTCATAGTTATTTATAATTTCATTGGAAAGGTATTCTGTTAAAGATTCCAGTATTTATTATAAAGTTATACTAGTCAATATAAAACATTAGGCTTCAGTAATATCCTCTGAAAGCTGTGATATCGACGCTTGCATTGCTGCCTATGTTCAATTCATGAAAATTTTATTGAAAACTGTAATCTTCAGTCAGAGGGGTGATAATAATACCAACTTGTATGGATCAAGTGATGAGCAGT